GTAATATTACCGCAACTAATTAAACATTATATTAAATAAGATTATTTAGTACAGCACAGGAGTTGTCTTGGCACAAAGGGATTCTGTTCTCAGCAATATTAGAATAAGAGACACTCACTGTCCTGAAGAGTCTACTAATTTGAACTGTTATTGGTGTTTGAATATCAGCAATTGTACTTCTGCATCTATGCATGTTATTTTTTTTCAGTTCCCCAGTGAGGTACAGACTGGTTTTGCACATTTTATTTAAAATTAGATGCAAGGAAAATGATAGCGAGAGAGTCTTCTGGGAAAAGAATGATAGAGCAGAAGCTGAAAGGTATCCCAAGATGGGTGGAAAGTAGGGGATTAGGAAGAAATATAAAACTGAACAGCTATTAAGAAATATTTGACTTAGGCAGAACCTGTGTGCATAAAATGAATAATAACCAAAAAAGAGTCAAATCCATGCACTGTTCTACCTCTCTTAATGCTGTAATCTAGTCTTGGCCAATTAATCTCAGTCCCACAAGAATGATCTAGATGCACAAGGAAAAACATGGTGCATTTGATAGCTTTCCAACCAATAGTCTTAATGCCTACTGTGTCCTATATGAGCAAGGAAGTAAGGTGCTAGAAAAATCTTAGTTCATAATAAAAGTCCAGGCTGAAAGAAAGTAGTCAGTCTTTACCAAGATAGTGTCTAACATAAAATCATAACATTGCTTTCCTTTCTGCCCTGAAAAGACAGGAAATTCAAGCAAGCAAGAACTTTAAAAAACAACAGAGATTGTATTTCATACAGGGAAGGCTAAAATGATACTTTTATGGTCTTCAGAGGTGGCCCTCAAAGCTGCAGTTTAAGGTTGCATCACTGTTTTTAATTTCAGTACAGAGGGTCCTGGACTGCTGTGAACAGTGAAGTGTTTTCAGTGCTTTTGGAAAAGGTTCTCAGTTCAAATTTCTCTAGCACATCACTGACCCGACCCCGCATGCAGAAATATCCCATCTCATTGTACCCAAACTCCTCCCTCCATTGTGGAAAATGCAGCCTCAGTGCATTCATAGCACCTTTGTGTCTTTTGCATCGAATAACCCACTCCTATCACAGCCCTGAATGCTTGCATGGGCTATTGCAGTGTTTCCAACTTTTTCCAGCCCAAGGCACACTTGCATTAATAAAAATTTTCCATGGCACACCTATTAAGGCATTCCCCATCTTTATACCTATTGAAGCTCATTGCCATGGCAAAGTTCCATGGCATGCCTGGTCATTTTTGACGGCACATTTTTGTGTCACGGCACACTGATTGGGAAACACTGGGCTATTCTACTGCACGGCACCAACACCAGACTCGCCAGGCTGGGAGGGATGACATGAGATTTGGAGCCTTCTGCACTAAGTGACCTAAAGTCCATTTATAATGGAGGAAGCTAAATTTGAAACAATGAAGATCCTGGTGAGCCACCTAGAAGCAGATATCCACCATCCCTTCCTGAATGGAAATAATGGTTACACATCCATGTAACAATGAAATGATTAGAAAGTTTCATAGCCCGTATCAGAATTATGTTTTCATTGAAACTGAATGTTGCCAAGGACTTGATTTTGCCTCTGTTGTGACGTCACTGGCAGCTTGTTGCTTGCTTCAGTAGGATCAGGTGCAGAGCCTTAGTATGCGGAGAATTAATTGGAAATATAAGTATTAAGAACAACATACAAGCTGAATGTTTGTACCCAGCTGGCTTGAGCTCTCTGCAGATATTTGCCTGTGACCAAGGAAAGCCTAAAAATGTGTATTTCCATAGGAGATGCTGCTATCCCCACCCTGCATTAATATGCAGGATCTGTGCTCTTAATCCATTGCTAAGCAACACTTAACAAAATTGATCTTGCATTAAGCAAGCTCTAAAGCTTGAATAATACATTATTTCCCCCTTCTACTTTTAATCACTGTAAACCTTTGGTTGCTTTTTGAATGTCACAATATTTAAACACCAATTTTTAATTGGTAGGGAAGTCGACTTGGATTAGGAATCGGATGTAAATCCATCCATGATACTGCTATTTAATTTTTTTTTAAAGTTGATTAACCATGGAATAGCATGGGGGATGGGGGGAAGCAAAAAGCAAAGGGAATGTAGTATAAAATAAGAGCATCCCATTTTGTATTCAGATACATTAAGGGCAGTATCATGGCAGTGACTTTGTGTGTATTATAAGTATCATTGTCATTGCTGATCATGTTCTGTATTAAGGTCATACAGCTATGTGCATTTATATGTGGCGTACAAGAGTTTTTCTGATTCCCATACAGAAATGTTATGTATGTGGAAAATAGCCTTGCATCTCTTGAGTTTTCAGAATGGCTGCTAGAAATGTCATTCCATGCTTAGAAGTTGCTGGAAATTGCCTATTTTGTCTTCTAGTCCATCCCCCTGCCATTACAGAATTGCTCCCTGGAGTTTATTCTTCAGTGTTGTAATCAGTCCAGTCTTATGAGTCTCAAGTAACAAAGCTGTCGATGCCTCCATCAGGAGTTTATTCCACAGTATATTAGATCTCCGTGCTAGGCAGTATTTATTCATATTCAGACTATATTTTTCAGTCCAGACTCTTCTCTTTTCCTTAAACCATCGCAATAGTGATAGCACAAGACAACTATCCTTAATTTCTCAAGGTTTGTGTGATGTGGTCATTACTTCTATTACAGAAACTTCTATCAAAACAAGTACCTTGTCAGGCTAGGGTAGGGGTGGGCAATGATTTTGGCCACATAGGGAGATTTGATGAGCTGTTACAGACCAGATCAGTGCCCCCCACCCCACGTAACAGTTCACCCAAACTCCCTAAGTGGTTCTGCTTCATACTCGGCCACGTGGTTGGGATGGGGTCACAGGTGGGTGGGAAGTGACATCCAGGAGTGGGATGGGTGGATGGGGCCAGGGCTGAGATTGTGGGGTGGTAAAAGCATGGGGTTTGGGCCCAGGGCAGAGCTGTGATCCGCTGCCTACATGGCCCTGCGGGGGGGCACCTGCCAGTTCCACAGGCAGGGGTATGCAGCGAGCGGATTATGTCTCTGCCCTGGGTCCTGGCCCCATGTTGTCACCACCCAGCAATCTTGGGGTCTCCATGGAGGCTGCCCGGGACCCACTCATGTAGGGCATGTGGCCAGGTGAACTGGGATCTGCATCCAGGGCTGGGATCTTAAGGCAGTGACAATGTGAGGCTGGGGCCCAGGGTAGAGCTGCAATCCAGCCACCGCACCGCCCAGCCCTGCTGTGCACCTAGGGGTGGCAGAGTCGGCCACATGCACCACAGCTTGGGCTGCCCCCTGTGCCTGGGCCAGGTAGGACTGAGGGATCCACATAGGCCAGGCAAAATCCCTCGGTGGGGCAGATCTGGTCCTCAGTCTGTATTTTGCCCTCCCCTGGACTAGGGAGCACTGAGTAGTTAAACATCTCCTGCCTCTAAAGCCACGAGTCAGGGGAGCAGTAATGCATGTATTAAGTTCAGCCTTATTTAGGACATCAATTACCCCCATGTGTTTTAAACCTTCTTGAATTCACTGGGATTTAGGCATGTCCATTAAATAGGGATAGTACTCTGAGTCAGCATCTAAATAGAAAATGAAATTGTATTATCTGTTCATAAAAACAAATGCATAATCAAACTTTGCTTTTGTAATTAATGATAGGGAAATGTGTATAATGTTGCAGACTTCTACTAAATATGACAGGAATCTTAGCTTGATGCCATGAGTTAATCCTCTAGCAAATCTATTCAATGATATAAATTTCTGATTTTGAGAAAATGTAATTGGTACTTGCTATGGCAATGATTAAAACATTCTTTCTAGGAGGACGTCAATTTTTTCAGGATCTGCTGCTATTTTGGATGTTGCGCGTTGTCTCACTGCAAATAGTGTAGATTTTGACTCTGTATTATCATCCATCCCATATAGATTCGGATGTGGGATTCCACATTAGTATCTTGCTTATAAAACACCTTTTATAACTTATTGGCTTAATGTGTTTGGATGGTCGGGGGAGGGAGAGGAGGGTCTCACATATGATCTATTCAAATCTATCAACAAGTAGTATTAAGAGAAATCATTCCCGTATGAACTGTATTTATAGATATTTATACTTTAGTATTCCCTGGAGATTCAATTGAGGATAGGGTACCATTGTGGGAAGTTGTAGTCTCTAAAGAATTTACAATCTAAGCGGGTGAGATGGAAGAAAACATGTATTTCCAATTCCTACTTTAAAAGTTGGGGAACTGAGATACCAAGGTTTTAAAAGGTATTTAGGTGCCTTAAGATGTAGATAGTAAGTCACAGGATTTTCAAAGGCACCCAACTTCCATTTGAAAACATGTTTGTGATTTGGCCAAGATCATACTGGCAATTGATATTTGAGTTCAACAAAGAACCAAAATATCCTGACTTCTAACACTCTAATCACCAGATGGATAAAGCTTCTTTCTCCACTATCTTAGCATAAGAATGAAAGGCCTATAGTTATAACCCCTTAAAAATAAGGCTCTAAATGTTTCAAAGGTACAGGATCTCTGTAGTTCCCATTAATTTCAATGAGATTTATAGGTTCTCAGGACCTTTGAAAATCAGATCCCTGTTGCATTTGAATACAGGTAGAGTTAAAAATATTAAATTCCACCCAGACTTGTCTCTGTGAATGACATTTTTGAATGAAAACTTGGAGGATTTTAATTGAATGTACACATCTTGATTTCCAATAAATGGCTAATTGTGACTTATCCACAAGGCACATTTATATTCATCAGAGACTTTTTTTTCTGTATTATACCATGGTAGGAGCCGTATCCCATCAGCAAAAACTCAAGAACCTGTACTCAGTGTCTAGAGATGAATTATTAAAATGAATAGAAAATGTAATGTATATATTACTTCCCTAAGGGGCTCTTTGCAGAGTAAACTTAAAACTGCATACGCTTGACTTGTATACATCTTGTTGATTTCTATCTCCTTCATCAGCGTGGAACTTCATCTCCCTGGGTTCTGCATTTTTCTCCATCCTGACTCCTCCCAGTGTAACATCTGCTACAAATTTCATTGCTGTGCTGTTTGCTGCTGCTTCCAGGTAATTGATGAAAATGTTAAATAAGACTATCCTAACAGGCTCCCCTACAATTTGCAGGACAGTCTAACAAATGCTTGACTAGAATCTAAATATATTGTGTGTACTGCATTTCCTCTTTCCATTTATGTCTGGCAAGATTTATTCTTTATTAAATGATGCTGCCTCTGACTCTAGCTGCCATCTCTCTCCATGCACTTATGATGCAATTGGCACCAGGGTACCTGAATGCCAGCAAGTATATAAATAACCATAACAAGCCCTCTCTCTCAATTGTTAACAACTTTTGTCTGCAGAAAAAACCCTCTTTTCTTTTGTAAGAATTAGTGTGTGAGAAAACCTTACTGAGGCAGAAATGGAAGAGATGACTTTGCCTGCTCTTTCTGAGCTTAGAGGTCATTCTTTCGCTTCCAGGGACCAAATGTCACAATCCTACTTTGCCCCAGAAAAGTTCGGTCTCCCTTGTTCATTCAAGTCCGTGCTTATTGGTCATGACATGGCTATAGAAAAACATAGTCACGGATACAGGGGCAGAAGCAATCTTTTTGATATCTATGGACCATCCCATGGAGCAACGTACATATCAGGATGGAGAACATGGGGGTGTTGCATGTATGGTGGCTGTAGTCTGAAGACTCGGTAACTTTAGTACAAGTGTTAATCTTATTTACCCTTCCACTCATCCATCTATTACATGCAAACACAGATCAAAAACCTATGTTACACCCACAAGTTACCGTGAACATCTGTCTCGTATTACAGATACCTCTATGCTGCTTTCTTCCCAGCATGTTCTCCCAATGGCCTCATCACTTAGCTGGTAAATAACAGATATTTTTGCTTGGCTGGGAACAATTAAGAAAAACTTGCACAATCAGGCAAAGTACAGGCCATTTGCAAGATGGACTAGGATGAACCCCCCATTCCAATCACCCTGGGTCTAGTTGCTGTTGCAGGCATGAGAGAGAGAGTGTGAAACTTTTTTCTCAATGATGAGGCAAATAGCTGTACAAAATTTTATATGTGAAGTCATAAATTAATACCAGACACTTTCAGGCCACTGCATACAGTGCTACAAAACTACTTTCTTATTCTTTAACTCTGTCAGCATGTATTTCTGTAGTTCTTATCCAGTATGCTACTTCTATAGTCCTTTAAACTCTTATTTTTCCCATAAAAGCAAAGGGTCTTTACCATAAAATTGCCTAATTAAATAAAAATAAAGACATAGCATTTAAAGGTGCAAAGGAGGTGCATTTATTCTAGTTTTGAGACCTGAGCCTCTAATTTTGAATGGTATTTATCTCTCTACTGTTATGATAAAAAGGCTGCCTTGTTTCTTCCTTTTATTTTATAGCTCTTCTCTCAGTCTCTTCATTTATAAGCAAAAAATGCATTGTGTCTTTTCTGGGATAACAGACCCCTTAATACTATGACAGCAATTTATCCCAATTTCAAAAAGCATGACATTTGAAAGTTAAAGGAAGGGGGTGTTTTTCCATCTCATGTTGGGACAAATGCATTATCTTAGGGCTTTCTCTTTCTGAACTGAGATAACTATGTGAAAGTGAGACATTATCTTGGCTGTATGCTTGCTCATTCTCTTTCCCCCTGCTGTGGTTTTGTGCATTTCAGCTTTTTTTTCTGTTTCCTAGTACAGATAAACCAATACATAGAAAGCGAGAGACAAAGACTCTTAACTTCTGGATCCCTTGGGTCAAATTGCACACACATACATTTGTGTAATCCCTTGGAGCCAGCCAGAACCCTGTCTGAGAATGGACTTGGTAACCTTCCTTCCCTCCCTAGGAAAATCACCTATGGAATAGGTGACACATTTGGATGCTTATCTTGCTGGGATCCTATGATCCCTGTTGACTTCCTGCCCATAGGGCAGGGGGCTGGACTCGATGATCCTCCAGGGTCCCTTCCAGCCCAAACGTCTATGAAATCTGTGTCTTCTCCCCCTCGTTCTGGGTCTGTCTGGAATAACCACCCTGTACCACCGTGCAAGTTTGTTCTGGTAACACCAGTGCTGTTCGTAACTTATTTCCCATTGTAGATATCATGCACAACATCATTTTGAAGAAATTGTGAGAGCTCAAACCAGACTGGGACCCCAACCAGACTAAGGGGTTTTTTTGCTTCACCTTGTCTGCATCTCCATTTATCTGCAACTTTCCAGTGACTCTGATGTCCATTTAACAGTGCAGGCCTTTTGATTTCAGTTTTTCTATTGAACTAAAACATCATCGAGGATAGTCCATGTTTCATTGATGCCATTCTGCAATATAATAATGCAGAATGCTGAAAGGGCCCACTGCCATTTTAGTAGGGGCTTTATTATTTTGACATCATTTTCCACAAATGTATGGGATTGGAGATAATGATGATTAGTAATTATTTGCTGCAAATAATTTGCTGCAAATGGCTTAAATTCATTCACACTAAACCGTGAACAAAATGAATTTGATATGCGCTGTCACTTCTCTAGCTGTGGTGTTTTCTAGTAATACTACGGTAGGAAAGTGAGAATAATAGTCTAGGACTGTTAGACAGAGGCAGAGGTGTAGCTTGGAAAAATGCACCCTGGGTAAACCTCTCCCCCACCCCCAAATCCTCACAATTTCAATTTAGGATCAAAGTAGAAGGTATTCTGGGAATGATAGTTCTCTAGACTAGCAGTGGAGTTTGCTGCTGCCAAGGGAAACTTTCACCCCATTTTTTGCTATCAGAGCCCAAGTCCAGGGTGCCAAAAAAAAAAATGCTGAATTTTGTTGCAAAATATGGGGGTCAGTTTTTACCCAGGAGCAGTAAACTCTACTGCTACTCTACAAAACTACAATTCCCAGAATGCCATGTACTCTCTGACACTCATTGCCTGCAGTGGCTGTTTCCTGGAGTTAGGAAGTGCCCACAGAGGAAGGCAAGGCTGCAGATAGGCATCAGCAAAGTAGGCTGTAGTGAGTAGCCCCAGGGTAAGGCATGCTTTCCTCATCCTTCTAGCACCCCTGTCCTGGGGTGGCACCTGGCACATGTGCCCCACTTGTACACCCCACACTATGCTACTGAATAGATGGGTCTTCTTTTGCCCCCTCTCGGGTATGTTATTAAGAAAATTGTACTCAGCCCTCTATACATGACTGTTATAAAGAGGTTTCTTCCCCCAGTTCATTCATTTTCTCCTGGAGCACTGTCAGTGATTCGTGTTAAGAATCTGTCAAAGCTACCAAGTATGTTGTCTTCCTCTGCTGATGATATCCACTCTTTGCTAACTCTTCCAAAATGATGTGATCGATTTGCAGTTTTTGCATTATTTCCCAAATGCCAGGCATTGGTTTGGTATCTTGCCCCAGCATTTGTGGCTTCACATGCTTGTTTTGTGGACTCTGACTTTGAGCTCTGAGCATGTTTCTGAACTAAACATGCTGGGTCCTAAGTCTTCTCATGCTCACACCTATGTAGTTTGGTGAGGACATAGCAGAAATTTGCCCTGCTCAGGACGTCCTCCAGTAGGATATCATCAATGCCAGTTGCCAATCTTACTTGATCAGGAGCTGCCTTAAGGTTTATCAGAGCTGAAGCTAGCCTAGAGGAGTAGGTAGTGAGAGCCCTCTTGCTGCCTGCTCTCATACAGGAAAGAATCCAGTCCAGTCTGTATTCATACCTCCCCTTGATTGTGGATTATCATGTACAGTACGGCACAAAAGGACCGGCGCCTTTCTGTACTGGATTAAGCTGGTGGAGAAATACATTTGGTAATTTCCTCAAGGACTCCAAACTCCAGGGATTGTTCTCATCTTTTCTTTCATCTCTTTACCATCAGTATTCACTATTGCAGGGAAACATTTTAAAGGGGGGAAAAAGCAAAAACAAAAGATTGCTCTTCTAAATTAACTGAGACTATTACATTCTAGCACATTGTTATAATCATCCCCCGCTGGAAAATGTCTAGGAAGAAAGGACCTGGAAAGGCTGTTGGAGATGCAAGCAATTATAGTTCCTCTATGACTCATCTGCATTGTTTTTAATTTTTATACATCAATACTTCTTTTTGTGTTTTGTTTTGTTTTCATTTTTAATGAGAAGTTGAGCAAGGTGCCCAGAACATTGTTTGGCACAACAAAACTCTAGCTCCTGCTGTTTTCACGCTGCTCAGCAACTTCAGCTCTGTTGTTTTAAATATATGCATCTGAGCTGATGCCAGGGCCGGCCTGGCCTCTGAAGCTGAAAGGTGCTTTGGGAATGCTCTGTCCATCAGACAGTGATGCTTCCTGACTTGTATAATAATCTCTGTGAAAGTCGTTTGTCTGGCAATGATTCTAATATATGTGCAAATGAGCAAAAGAAGGGTCATGGAGGGAAGAAAGAAAAAGAGGGAGTATGGAAAGAAGGTGGAAGTGTAAACGGCATCATGGAAGGCAGAAAATGATCCTGATCCTGAAGGGGTATAAGAGCATGGTGGGGAGAGAGCAAATGATGTAGCAAACAGGAGATGAGTAAAGGTAGGAATGGGAGAGGGAGAATGATGAGGCAATGAGCAGAACAACTGGGAGGGTGAGCCTGCTCTGATGCAAATGTAACTTAAAGCTCCTTTACATTAGAAAAGGTTAGAAAAAAATTAAGTCTTGTATTCAAAGCTGTTGAATTCTGGGAATAAGTTTGGTGAACATTGTCCTGGGCCTGGTTGAGTAAAGAATGTGGGTAAGGCAGGGAAGGACCGGGAGCCATTTGGCTGGGATTAGAGAACATCAAGGTTAGATAAGGAGCTGGAGACAAGTGGGAAATGAGTCAAATGGCCAGAGAGAGGGAGAAGGCTCCTGCTGGTAAGTATTGTAAAGAGACTAAAAGTAGGAACAAATGGCTGGTGCAAAGAAAGAGGCAGGGGCCCTGTGGAAAAATAACAACTGATAGTGAAGGTAGGGGATAATGTTGAATGAAGGCGTATGCACAGGCAACATTAATACTAGCATTTTCTATCTGTTGAGTCCCTCACTTTACAGCCTTAAAATTCTTAAGATTTTGGTATTTAATTATGTTCCAGCAGCAAGTAAAGACCTCACCTACAATAGGGTCACCATTGTGCTTAGTCACCCCATATGAGAAGAATGCCTTGAAGAGCTTTGACACAAAAAAAGGCAAGACAAATAGGTATGGACTAATAGCAAGTAAACGATCTGTCAAAGATGTAGGACTTACACCTTTGAATTTCTCCCCGCTTGCCCACACCACTACAGTCAACTGCAGTTGGTATTTATATCCATCCTCATTCACTTGACTAGGACTTCTCATGTGTGTGTTTTTGCATGCATCAGTCTGCTGATCCTAAGGGTTATGTTTAAAATAAAAGGCCAGGTTGGTCTTTTACTGTCTTTTCTAACACAAGCCTTTTATGTTTTAAAATTGTTTTTATCTCTTCCCTCTTCTAGAGATCTGTGGGTGAGCTGTCTTTTGCCAAAGGGGGAAAAATGTTGCGCAGAAATCTGTCCCCAGGTTCTCATGGTAAATTATTAATAATCTGACATTTTCTCTCTTGCTTGGGTTTCTTTAGTCTTTCCCCATGACATGCCTGGTCAAAAGCTGTGTTGGTCTCCAAATGAATATAGCAGCTGCAGATCAAGATGCGATCTTAAATTTATTTATGCTAGTATTGCAATGAATTAGGACTAGTGAATAGTCCAGTATTACAGTGAATTAGGACAGCCAATTTAGTAGAAGCAGATCTGGCTCCTATTAAGGCCAATGGAAGTATCATTTTTCCCCCCGACTATTCAAATCACTGGGGCAATATTAGACCATTTCAAAGGGAGAGGATTTCTTAAGCCTGTGTATTGGAATATCTGTTTAACTTACAAAATAACTGGTGCAGTTTTCCTCTGTTACTAACATATTGTTTTTATTGCCACATGCCCTGTTTCTTTGCTGGGCTTTTAATTGTGTGGATACAGCAAAATTGAGACGATCCAGATTCTACTACAGTAAAACAAATATCACTGTTTTGCTGTATGGCATGGAAAGGGGGAGTTGCAAATAAAGTTGGAGACAATCTCTGCTGAATTTTTAAATGTGGGGTGGGAGGAAGAGCTACAAAATGAACTGTGACTTGCTGTAATGTGGAAGAATATCTTGGGATCTTTTCAAATCGGATAATCCTTTCCAGCAGAGGTTAAATTAGCTTTTCTGCACTATTGTACGGTAGAGCTAACAAAACTAACCTGCAGTCCTGGAAATTGCAGGGAGTTAGAGTGGTATGTGCAAGATACACAGGGATCGTATATGAAATAGCACAATCTCTTATTTATCTTTCCCTGCTAGGTTTTTTTTTTAATACCAATAAAATGTAAGAATTTGCCCTGTCTCTGGTGGAAGGGGTTCAGTATGGTTCAGACATGTACTTTTTCCTCACTGCGTTTTAAAGATTCATTATTTCAAAGATACTCTGTTGTAGGCAGGTTAGAAAAGAGAGGAAAGGGGCAGCACAAACGGGGAAATAAGTCAGTAAAAACCCACCTAATATCTCTTCAGGGGTTACACAATAGCCAGCAGCCACTGCTTCAAAAACTGCAAGAGACAGGTTTGATTCAGGCAAGGAGAGTGGTTAATGCCAACTCTCTGTCAAGGTCTAGGGAACTGGTGCCTCCGGCATGCTGTGTACCTGATCATGACACCTAAATCCTGAGAGAGGATTATGAGAGAGGGGCCTCTACAAATATACGTGTTGGAGGAGAATGAGAGCCCCTCAGCCTCTCTTTCTACGTGCTGGGATCATCATGCTTTACCTTCTGCTACCAGAGGGCAATATTTTCCTTCCAGCTTTTTCTGTTGTGGTATCTCATGGCTTGCCTAGACAACAGATACAACCTTGGATCACTTGCCCCCCCGCCCGCCCGCCCCCAGGAAGGTAGACCCTTGTATAAGAATCCAGGTCCAAAACAAAAGAAACAAAGTGCCTAAGTACCTTTTTAAGGCTTTGACCCTCGGCTCTTAGTCCTACAACTAGTAGCTGGTTATGATCTTATGTTCTGTGCAGCCAAAAGCAAAGCAAAATTGTCTTTAAATATCATCAGCTGGAAGAGTTCTCCAAGCAACTGTCTGCTGGCCTAGGAGGAATGCAGTATGCTTCAGCTGTATCTCCTGCTCTCTGATAGTATAGATGTGTTCCTGAGAGACTTTCTCTAGTATATAAGAATCACCAGGTGCCTTATTAAGTACTTTGTTTCTTCTGCATAAAGGAAACTTGGTCTGGACTGAGGATTTGACTCTCTGTTTTTCAATGGCAAACACTCTCTAAACCAAGGCATTGTAAATTCAGGCATAAATCCTGAACTCCAGGACAGCATACAGGAGAGCTTCTAGAACGGGACTTTCATGGATATAATGAATTGTGCATGGCAATCAAATCAGGCAACTTTATCGCACATGCTTATGAACATCAGAGATCATTTGCATGATACTTCGCAACTGGGAAACTTATCAGATTTGGATGAAGAACTAACAGACAACTTGAAAATGTCTGCCCCCCCCACCCCCCAGCCAAGGGAATCCTATAGCAGGATGCAGTGACGTGTACCGGGTTGTCCTTCAGATCACATAAGGCGAGAGATCCACGTGAGCCTAAATGGCAGGGGGAGTTCACAAGGTGAAGGCACAACAGGTTCTGTGACCAGTGGTAGCAAGGGAGTGATGTGGCTAGCAGCATGTATGACCTTTGACTCTGACCTGAATGATCAGGCTTTCATTTGCATCTGGGTCAACTAGGGCTGGTCACTTGCCCAAGTCCAGTGCAGACCGTGATCTCTTGCCACAATGAGACATCTCCCCTCCTCTGCCACTACAGTGGCCTAATTCCCTCCACCTGTATGGAAAGATGTAACGTTATATCCCTAAATCAGAATTAGAAGCGATTATGGCATTGCCTAGTGATAAAAGCCAGCAGACTTAGGTATTTCAATTCTTGTCATGAATGATAAACAACACATGGGTGATGTGCTGCAGCTGTTGAATGATATAGATTGCTCTCTAGATTAAACAGCATCTACACTTTGCAGGATCAAGAAAGATTAATAACATTTTCAATATGGGATTAAGCCATAATTAGGTAAATGTTACTTACTTTTTATATAATATAGAGTGTTTAACTTTTATAACTTCTCACTGGAATCTTTGCCCAGTAGACTTATTAGGCCAAATTTACACCGAGTGAATTCAACTGTACTGAAATCACTGGAGGTTTGACTGGGAGGCTGAATTTGGCACACTGTGGTATTGACAAATGCATTTCATAGTAGGGTATGATAGTCAAACTAGCTCGATATTGGTTTCACTGCTGTCATTGAAAGTAAATGGCCCACTGACTCCAGTGGGGGAGGAGATAGGCCAGAAATGAAAATCTGATCCTGGGTTGAAGAAACAATTGAAATAAAATATGATATACATTTGACTCTCTTCTAAAGGGAGACAGCATGTAAGAGCTAATATACCTTATAACAATAGATATTTGTGTAGTCTTTTTTACCTGACTGTGCCTTCCCACCCCCCAAATATTTCACAAATTATGCGATGTGTGTGTGTGTGCGCATGACAATACGTTTCAATGATCTCCAGGGCAGAGGACAGACAGAGCCACTTGGGGAAATAAATAATGGAAAAGGTGCCCATTTAGTGTCCATGAAGAGGAGAGAGAATTTCGGCTATTAAGAGTCTTATGTTTAGCGCTCTGTCTATCAAAGTAGGCAGTCAAAAGGGTTACATTCACCCTACTAGGATGAAAAGATGCATAAATCTTGAACAATTGATGGGGTTGTGTACATGACGTGGAGAGACTAGGTTGGTAAGATTTCTTGACACTAGAGCTAGAGAAAAAGGCTACTGATTGCAGCTGTAACCCTGTTTCAGTCCTATTTTTAGAGGGCATCCTAAGTCTGCGGGTCTAGTCCAAAGTCTTGAGGTGACTGAGCAGAGAAACACACAAGGCTTAGAAGCTATTTATTAAGAGACCAGATCTGAGCATCTTAAAAATGTGGAGGCCTCCTGATTTGAATGGTGATAGAGGGTGAGGGTGAGGCAGTTCTGTACAAAGATTAAAGTATAATGCTTGGATTTGGATTTAGATCCAAACTCTGTAGGAATTTGGTTTGGCCTCCTCTCTTCTTACTACCGTTTATTGGGCTATAATTTTGTCCTGCTGCAAGTATGTAACTGCTATTAACTTCTATGTGTATCAAGGGGAGAATATAATCATTGGTACTTATGTGAGTATAAACTTCTTTCTCAGTTAAAATGAGTAAAACCTCTTTGTTTCATGGTCTCAAAGGTTTTTATTGTTTTGATGCAAAAAATTGGGGGCTATATTGACCACAAAGCTAGTACCAGCATTTTAACATGGTACTGAGTTCATGACATGGGTGCTGCACTTGGAGTTAGATTTGCCACTGGGGAGGTCCAGTTTACTACGGTGCAAATGGGTCAGAGAGTAGCCATTCACCCTGCATCAACTGTACAGGAAAGGCGGGTCTTCCTGCTGTAACCGGCTGTTTCACGACTGGAATAGCTGCGCAAAACAGGGTTCACAGCTATGCTCGTGACAGCTGGTCAGTTGAAAAAAAGGTCCCTGCTTAGGGATGGCACATAACTAGTGAAGAGCAAGCTCTCCTCTCCTCTCCTCCCCTGAGAACGAAGGTGATGGATTGTCTTTGTGATGTGGATGTCTACAATGAGAGCTTATCCTGCTCTATAATAACCTAGATGCAAGGTTAGACAAAAGACCTTGCCCTAGTCTGTAATAACCTAGACACTGCTCCTGATGTAATCCCAGGGCACAGAGACGTGGGGCTGGAAGGCACCTCCAGAGGTCACCAAGTCTAAACCCCTGTCAGAGGCAGGATCATCCCTCTCCAAACTGCCCTACACAACCTATTGCTTAAACTTGTCATAAAACTACCGTCAGCCCCGACACAACACGAGGCCTGGACAGATGTAACAGTGCTGCTCACAAGTGACAGGGCCAGCAGCTGTGAGGGGGTAGCTGTTACCTCCACCAACTCCTGCCCTCAGAAGGGAGTAGCAAATGGGTGGCAACTCTCCCCCTGTTTCATTACAGGGTCCCAAGGGCAAGGAGTTAGCTCAGTGTCCACCTGCTCCCCCCTGAAAACAGGAAAAACTGACAGCCGGTGGTGCCTCTATTTCCCTTCTCTCTGCTGGGGGTGGTTACTTTCTGCCCCCGGGGGTGATGGGGTCTGTTCTCCCCCATACATTATAAGTCGCTGAGTGATCTCAAGCCTTGTCACTGGGTGAGGCGAGGGGACAAAACCCAGCTAGACAAAGCCCTGACTGGGATGATGTAGTTGGGGTTGGTCCTGCCTTGAGCAGGGGTTGGACTAGATGTGACCTCCTGAGGTCCCTTCCAGCCCTCCTTCTCTGTGAGGGCGGGGGCTGGGTTTGGGAGCAGGGCTTGCTTTTTGTTCGGGGTCTGGAGCACCTCGGCCTCCAGCAGATGTGGGGGTGCAGGGCCACGACCCTCCCGAGGGGCTGTGCTCCATGCTCTCAGCCTGCCCCGCTCCCTTCATCGGCTCGGGGGGAGCTGCCCCTTCCCTCAAGGCACAGGGGTACGTTTCCCCCTTCCCAAAAGACAGAGGGGTCCATTTCCCACCCCCTTCCCTCAGAGCAGAGGGGTGCATTTCCCCTCTTCCCACAAAGCAGAGGGGTGCATTCCTCCCTACTTCTCCTCAGAGCAGAGGGTGCATTTCCCCGCTTCCCTCAAGGCACAGGGGTGCATTTCCTCCTTCCCTCAAGGTCGAGGGTGCATTTCTCCCCTTCCCTTAGGGCAGAGGGTGCATTTACTCCCTTTCCCTCAAAGCAGAGAGGTGCATTCCTCCCCCCTTCTCCTCAGAGGGGTGCATTTACTCCCTTTCCCTCAAAGCAGAGAGGTGCATTCCTCCCCCCTTCTCCTCAGAGGGGTGCATTTTCCCCCCTTCCCTCATGGCAGAGGGGTGCATTCCTCCCCCCTTCTCCTCAGAGGGGTGCATTTCCTCCCTTCCCTCGAGGCAGAGGGTGCATTTCCCGCCTTCCCTCAGGACAGAAGGGTGCATTTCCTCCTTCCCTCAAGGTCGAGGGTGCATTTCTCCCCTTCCCTTAGGGCAGAGGGTGCATTTCCTCCCTTCCCTCAAAGCAGAGAGGTGCATTGCCCCCCTTCCTTCAGGGCAAAGGGTGCATTTCCCCCCTTCCCTCATGGCAGAGGGGTGCATTCCTCCCCTTAGGGCATTTCCTCCCTTCCCTCGAGGCAGAGGGGTGCATTTTTCTCCACCCTCAGGGCAGAGAGGTGCATTTCTCCCTTCCCTCAAGTCACAGGAGTGCATTTACTCCCTTTCCCTCAAGGCAGAGGGGTGCATTGCCCCCCTTCCTTCAGGGCAGAGGGTGCATTTCTCCCCTTCCCTTAGGGCAGGTGCATTTACTCCCTTTCCCTCAGGGCAGAGAGGTGCATTCCTCCCCGCTTCTCCTCAGAGGGGTGCATTTCCCCACTTCCCTCATGGCAGAGAGGGTGCATTTCTCCCCTTAGGGCATTTACTCCCTTCCCTCAAGGCAGAGGAGTGCATTGCCCCCCTTTCCTCAGGGCAGAGGGTGCATTTACTCCCTTTCCCTCAAAGCACAGGGTGCATTTTCCCCTTCCCTCGAGGCAGAGGGTGCATTTACTCCCTTTCCCACAAAGTAGGAGGGTGCATCCCCCCATCAGTGAGTCCGTCCTCACCTCAGCCCCCCACGGCT